AAAGTACAAATTGGTTGTTACAAAGTAGTCATGGGGATGTAGGGTATAGCATAATGAATATAGTCAATAATATTGTGATAACTATGTATCATGTCAGATGGGTACTAAATTTATCAAGGTGATAGATAGAAGGGGGGTTGGGGTCAGGGTGAAAAAGGTGAAGGGATTAAGAAGTACAAATTGGTAGTTACAAATAGTCATGGGGATGTAAAGTAAAACATAGGGAATATAGTCAATAATATGGTAATAGCTATATATAGTGCCAGGTGGGTACTTGACCAGTCAGTGGGAACACTTCTTAAATTTTATAAATGTCTAAGCACTATGCTATACACCTGAAATTAATATAAAATAATATTGAATGCCAACTATAATTGAAAATTTTAAAAAGGGGGAGAGGTGAAGGGGAATGAGAGGTTCAAATTTCCAGGTATAAAACAAGTCATGGGAATTAATGTACAGCACGGGGAATATAGTCAGTAATAGTGTGATAGTGTGGTATGATGTCAGATGGTTGCTGGGCTTATCATGAGGAATCACTTCTTTAGGTATATAAATGTTGAATAATTATTGTGTACACCTAAAATTCATATAATATTGTATGTTAGTTATATTTTAATAAAAATCTTTAAAAAAAAAATTCAGGAGTACATTAATAGCAACGCAGCTTTCTTCTGCTGCTCTGAGTTCCTCAGGTGCTGGAAAGTAAGCAGAGAGGCCAGGCCATGTGCTTCAAACAGGAAAGGCTGTTGTACAGCTGGCCCCAGCTTGACCCGGTGTCCTCACAGCTAGCTTCCCAGAACAAGATGGCAGCCCTCGTCTTCAGACTCAAGAGCAAGTAGCCTCTCTGAGGCTTAGATATCCTTAGGTTGGTTCCCAATGGCACCAGCACTAAAGCATGCTCCTGGGGACCTGCGTGCCTCAGTTTCCTCACCTGTGAACCCCACGGTGCTCCAGAGGAGCAGAAAGAGCCTGGTGTGGGAGCCAGGGGACCCAGTTCAGACGCCAGCTTGGGTCATGCCCTACACAGGGCTAAGACCAAAATTGTATAGAGTCAAAATGAACCAACACATAGTCTGTCAGCAGGTCCAGTACAGTCCGTTTTTAATCTAGAAAGAGGGCTGTTTCTTCATTTGATCTCCCAAGGAAGCAGCCAGCTGGCCTTCTCATCTCAAAGGGGTTTAAAGAGTTAATGAGAAATGCAGTGAAAAGGCCAATGTGCTATGTAGACACAGGGGCAGTTAAGGAAATGCTTGAAGAGCTTCTGTTTTACAGCTGTAGGCACTGGGCTGCGCTGAGGTGAAGATGGGGGACCTGGAATGGGAAATGGAGGGAGGGAGCCTCCGATTTCCAGGACTTGAGAAGGTCCAAGTCACCTACTGACAAGGCATCTTAAATTTGGATCCTCTTCCCCCGAGGGTCCCGGGAGAGGAGGATGGGAGGGGTGCCCCCTGGGGCTCTTACAGGCTGGGCTGGGCTCCTAGAAACCCCCTCCCTGTGAGGGACTGCATTCCAGTCCTACCACTTCCTTTTCTCTCCCAGCCCCTCCCATAATCCCATCATCAGCAGACACTGCTGTTCCTGCCTCCTCCCACTTCTGGAAAGATCCCAGGGCCCAGAATCACAAAAGCTGATCTGTAAGAATTTCCACTGGCTCCCCTTGAAAGCTAAAGAAGGGGAGGAACACACATGAACACACATGCAATACCCATCCCCCCAAAGTGGTACTCCATGGCGGTCATCAACCTGAGCGGATCAACAGGGAAGGTGATGATGGGGGAGATCTAGAACAGTGCAGCTCAATTAATGAGAACCACATGCCATGTTCAATTTCCTAGCAGCCCCGCTAAAGAAGGTAAAAAGAAGCATGAGATATTAATGTCATAATATGTTTAACCCAATACATCCAGAATATTATTATCTCAACATGCAATCATTAAAAAATAATTATTACACTATTTTACACTCCTTTTCAGCATCCTAGTAAGTCTTTCAAATCTGGCGTGTTTTGTACACTCAGAACCTGTGGCTTGTGCCGCCATGTTGGATGGCACAGCTCTAGAGGAGAAAGAAAGGCAAAGGGAAGAGAAAGGAAAATAAAGGGAGTGGATGGGGAGGCAGGGAACAGGGAAGGGGGAAAACATCCTCCAGGTGACAGTGTGTCCACCTGCCAGGAAGCAGCTGTCCTTCGCAGGTGAAGGGTGCATTATGTGTCCTCTGGGCCTGAATGTCTCCGATCTTTACACACCCAAATTCCATGGGTTCCTGAGAAGTAAAAGGGCATCTCAAGCCTACCCCTCCCAGGGTGGAGGGGGCTTGCCCCCACAGGAGGGCCCCCCATGGGGGGTCCTTAACAGAGAACTTCCAACTCCTGCCTTCCTGACACCTTCTGCCTCCTTTAGGAGTGGAGAGCTTAGGCAGGAGCTGGAGGTTGCAAACCTGTTTGCAGGGTATGTGAGAAAAGAAAGATGGGCACGCCAGGCGGAAGGGTGCTCACCTGGGATGCATGCATGGACGTCTAGGGTCTGCGGACCCCGTGGAGCCGTTTGCGAGTCCGCTGGCCTGTATTCTCCACGGGGTCTGAGACTCCCAGTGAGCTGGGCCTCGCCCGGGACCCCAGCCTGGGTGAAGCCTCGCGTGGGTGTGCAGGGCCCCTTACCTTCCTTCAGCATCCCCACTTTGAGGCATTTCATGAAGCGGCAGGCCTGGCACGACTTGCGCCTCCGTTTCGTGATCTCACACTCGTTGGTGGCCGGGCAGCTGTACTCAATGTTCCCTGTAATCAGACACAGACAGTGTTGCCAAGTGCCATCCAGGGTCCCCACCCACAGTCCAAAGGTTGGATGGGGATTAACCGGCCAGACTTTCACTGTCCCCCTACCCCGCCAAGGTTCCCATAGGGCAGTGGTTCTCAAGGTAGGTGGCTCCGAGGTACTTGTCCAAATGTTTCCAACTCTTTGAAATACAGACATCCCAGTTTTGGAGGTCTGGGTGGGCCAGGCAGCCACAGCTTGGAAGAATGGTCACCCACTGGCTGGGACATCCAAACTCACTGAGGGGCTGTCCTCAGGCTTCAGTGCACCTCAGTCTCCCCATGCGGCATATGGAAACCATTTACTCTTGGATTTTCTGAGGACAAGTATGAACCAGGTTCCACCGCTGACAAAGTGCTTCAAAGTAATGAAACGACTGAGCTCCAATGACAAGGTGCTGTGTACTGAGTACTCACCACGGCTCAGCAAGTACACTTATCCCCATTTTGTACCTGTGAGGAAACTGAGGCTCACAGAGGTGGATTTGCCCAGGGCACCTTAGAGAGTTCTCTCCCTCTTTCTCTCTTTCTCTGACGCCCGGCCAGCCTGAACATTTTTCCATCCCATTTCCCGTAGAGCGGGGGTGGCTGGAGGTCAACCTCTCTGCTGAAGAATTGGACGGGACAGGGAGGAAAGAATACAGATCCTGTGCACCTCTATTCCCTAACCCTAACTGTTTCTTGGATCGGGCTGGCTTATGTGGCTTCTTGGGAAATAATTTCAATATTCACATAAGCAGGGTAAAACGAAAAAGATAAACAGAAACGAGGAGCACTCATACACAGACTAATTCGCCCACGTCTATCCTGGTTTAGAGGGCTCTGTGGAGCCTGGCTCATGCCCCTACCCCCTCTGTCTCCAGCCTCCACATCTCTGTTTCTCTGCATAACTATCAGTTCCTGGATCTCAGTGATCTAGGCTTCCAGGCCTTCGCTCCAGTTGCTTAGAACAAACCCACTCTGCTCCCTGCACCTCCTCGCCCGGCCTGCCTGCATCTCCAGGTCCCCTGAGGTAGGTGTCCCTTCTCCTCCCCATCGCCGGTGTTGCAGCTATTTGCTTCTTCTTAGGCCAGCTGTAGTTCACGTGCCAGGCATACAGTAGGTGCTCAATGCACACTGACAGCTGACACTGACCAGTGCTTATGATGAAGCAGCTACAGTTCTGCATTTCATATACTGAACCTTTCATTTTCCCAACAACCCTGGAGGTAAACATCTTTCTCTCCATCTTACAGATGAGAATGGTGAGCAGAGTCCAGGATGAGGCAGAGCAAGAACTTGAGCCCAGGTGGTCTGGCTCCAGTCTCTGCTCTGAACCACTGCAGTGAGCCATGGCCCTACATTAGCTGGCATGGTTAACTCGTGCTGCCATCTGCACGCTGCTAACTTTTCTAGTTCCCTGGTAGTTGCATAGCCAGTCTATCATCCCTTGAAGGAAGATGGGTCCCAGGTTTGTAAGGGTCGTTGTCCCAGCAGGGGGTCAATAAGTGACTGCTGGTTTGGCATTGGTGCTCCACCAGGACAAGAGGGTTGAGCAGTAACAACAAGAACTCAAGCCATGATCACCTTTCAAGTGAGGCCCTGCACACCTTTGTGTGTGTGTGTGTGTGTGTGTGTGTGTGTGTGTGTGTGTGTGTGTTTGTGCACGCGCACATGCATGGGTGCGTGCGCACACATGCACGTGGGCGGGAGTGGGGTGGGGGTGACAGAGAGAGTTTTCTAATTTTATTTATTTATTTTTGTTCCTTTCAATTTGTTTTATGGCCCCAGCGGCTGGCTGCCAGCAACGCCAGGCTGGTGGCCTTGTAATTTCTGTAAGTGCCTCCTTGATAAAGTGATGAGATTAATTCATCAGAATTCCCGTGGTCTCTTAAGGGCAGTCTAGGAGAGCNCCAACTCCTGCCTTCCTGACACCTTCTGCCTCCTTTAGGAGTGGAGAGCTTAGGCAGGAGCTGGAGGTTGCAAACCTGTTTGCAGGGTATGTGAGAAAAGAAAGATGGGCACGCCAGGCGGAAGGGTGCTCACCTGGGATGCATGCATGGACGTCTAGGGTCTGCGGACCCCGTGGAGCCGTTTGCGAGTCCGCTGGCCTGTATTCTCCACGGGGTCTGAGACTCCCAGTGAGCTGGGCCTCGCCCGGGCCCCCCAGCCTGGGTGAAGCCTCGCGTGGGTGTGCAGGGCCCCTTACCTTCCTTCAGCATCCCCACTTTGAGGCATTTCATGAAGCGGCAGGCCTGGCACGACTTGCGCCTCCGTTTCGTGATCTCACACTCGTTGGTGGCCGGGCAGCTGTACTCAATGTTCCCTGTAATCAGACACAGACAGTGTTGCCAAGTGCCATCCAGGGTCCCCACCCACAGTCCAAAGGTTGGATGGGGATTAACCGGCCAGACTTTCACTGTCCCCCTACCCCGCCAAGGTTCCCATAGGGCAGTGGTTCTCAAGGTAGGTGGCTCCGAGGTACTTGTCCAAATGTTTCCAACTCTTTGAAATACAGACATCCCAGTTTTGGAGGTCTGGGTGGGCCAGGCAGCCACAGCTTGGAAGAATGGTCACCC